TATATATAATTATTTTTCTTTATCCATCTCTATTATTACACATTAAAATTTCAATAGGAATATTGTAATATAAAATTTTGTAATCATTATTTTATTCTAAGATTTATAAGATTTTTTTGAAGAATTTGTTATTATTAATAATATATACAAGATGAGTCAAAATTATGTGAACAATATTGGATGAGTCAAAATTATGTGAACACTATTTGAGAGAAAGCATTTATTCAAAGTTTGCATTATACAGAGTCTCAACCTGACCACCAGAATGATTAATGCACTCAAATTAATGTTCAACAGTACAATTTAGTGCCAGAACACCAGAGATTGGGGAGGCCATAACAACGGTCCGTCATGACCAATCAGAATAGAAAACGAAACAAAATTAAGATATTTCATTAATAATGTTTAATTAAAAATTAGAATTGTTCACATAATTTTGACTCACTCTGTATATTTTCATAACTTAAATTTATTCAAATGAAATTTTCTTATTTAAAATTCTTCTAATCTATGATAAATTGCATCATAAAAACATTTAATTAACTATTCAAATAGAAAAATTAACATTTCAACTTTAAATTTTTAATTTTGATTTAAATTTTTAAGACTGATAATTTAATCAAATTATTTATAGGATTAATGAAAAAAAGATTGCAATATAACTTATTAAAACATAAATTCATTTTGTTTTTTAATTTTTATTTTTACTATATTTTGTTTTACACAGTTTACAAATAAATTATGCATATTTACATATATAATGATGAAAGTTTTAAATTAATCAATTTTATTATTGCAGGCATTTGGTTGTGTTGTTTCTTTATATTTTATTTCCCCAAAATTGACAACTTTATTAATCATTGTGATGCCAACTGTTATTGGTAGTGGAACAGTTATTGCTTCCTTTCTGCGTAAATGGTCAAAATTATCTCAAGAACAAGTAAGTTGTATTTACTAAATTTTAAAATGAAAGCTATTTTACTATTATAATTTAAAAAACAAATTATTATATTAGTTTATTAATAAATTTTAATAAAATAATTTACGTGTCAAAAAGTACAAAATCTGAAATGTTATAAAAATGGATATTTAAATAATTTCAAACATTAATGATTGGTATAATATCAAAATTCAAGAAAATAACATTTAAAGAAAATATAATCGAAGATGTATACAATGATATAGTTTAATTTCTGTGCATTTATGTAATTCTCAAATCTAATTAAAACTGTTAAGTTGTATTGGAACAAATGTGTGGCATTTAACATTAACAAACTGAAATTTAATGCTAAAAAGGAGAGAGAAGACCTCTCTCTATAAAAGTTCAAAATTCTTCAACAGAACAATTACATGGTCATTCTGCACATGATCCTTTTGACAACTGTTGTAAAACAATGACAACTGTACACAGTGACATGCTGCAGGAAGAGACCAAGGCGCATTTACCTCAACACTCCCACACATAAAGGCATAAATAGCACAAAAAATCAATAAGTATGAAATCAGATTTACAGTTTCAAAATTTTATCACAATTATTAATGAAAGTTTCTTTTGATAGAAGTTTTGAGAATAAATCTGATAATTGCTGCCTAGTATCAATGTGAATCAGCTATATCAAGTTGTCCTGGAGAGTAATGATGTGTGTAGTGTGTTGAAGAAATACTAGATTTTTTGCCAAATTTTTCACTGCTTTGATGTCACATTTAATTACTGTCGGTTTGTGTTGTTTGAAACCTAAATCCTTGAGAATTCCTAAACAATCTCTTTGGTGGCTTCATTTATCACTATATATTCTGCATCAATCATTGAAGTTGCTACTACACTTTGCTTATGACTAATCCAAACAACAGGATCTCAGGATCTCTGTTGAGCATAAGTACCACATCACACATTGACTTACAAGTGGTATGGTGCATCCATACAAGTGGCATAATTGGCATCACAAATTGCAACTAATCTATTTTGATTGCCACTAACTGTACAAAACTCGATGCCAATATCAATAGTGTCACTAAGACAACACACAGTTTGCCACATTCAAATGAATTGCAGTTGGAGCTTCAAGAAATTGGCTCAACTTGTTGACAATATATGCTATGTTCAGACATGCCCATGGTGATAAACACATGGCTTCCAATAACTAGTCTATACAAGAAATCTATATCTGGTTGATAATTTGTTTTGTCTACAACTTTCTTAAGCACTGAGTGGATCAGCCGTTTTATTCAGCTTATCTGAGGTGACGTAAAGTGCTGCACATTTTTATTACATCAAACTGAAATTTTCGTTATAATGGTATTAATTAAACTGAAACATTTTCATTGAACTGAATAGGAAATTGGTGGGGGATTCAAGTTATATATGTTATACGGAAAATTTCATTAAACTGATGTTTATTATACTGACATTTCACTGTATAATTATTTTTTATAAAGTAATTCAATATGACAGTGCCTTTATCATAAAAGTGAGATATTGTTGATTTCTTCAAAGTTGTTACTAGGTATTTTTTTATGAAAATTTTTCTTTTTGTTGATTTTGGCTGTATGCATGTATTTTTTTCGTGGTAGAAAGTGTATGCTTTGCACAAACACTTGTAGATGTTATTGTACAAATTAAAATAATCAAATTATATAGTTCTTTTAAGACAATCTTTAAGTCATCATTTGTTATAGAATTTTTTTTATATCATTAAGTGTTTTGTCAGCATATTCTGGAGATCAGTATAGATTAATTAATTTAGGCAAATCAAAAATATTTCTATAGAATTGTTTTACAGAATTAAAACTTTCTTCAAGAAATGTTTTTTTATATAATCATTGAACTTATTACAATCTAATAAAGACAGGAATTGTAAGTAATTAATATTATATTTACAAATTATTCATGTAACTTTTTATTAACTTGTCAATAATGTCTATATTCAAACATGTTCAATCTATATTCAATCTATATGATTATGTATAAAGCAATCTTTTTTAGCTTGCACTAGGCCTGTTAGTTACAGTCTAAGTGTAGTAAAAAGCAACAGTAGTCTAAGTTTATGTGATGAATTCAAAAGCATATACAGTAGAGTCCTAGAAATTTGACTCTTGATAACTTGACACACTATAAAATTTATTGTGTTGTTCAAAAAAGAAAAATAATTCAATTTCTACCTCCATAACTTAACACTAGAAGAATAAATTATTGTTGTTTATTGGCAACACTTGATAATAGAATAAATTCCATGTGTTAACAAAGCATATAATCTTTTTCCTAAGATGTCAATGCAAAATGCCGTGATATGAATGTCACTGACTCAAAAGCAACCACCAAATAGTCAATATATTTTTTAAAATTAAAATATAACTACAAATATAAATAGAGATGATTGATACATAGTTAATACATAAATGAATTTGCACATATATTATTTTTATGAAAATGTTGCTATTTAGACTGATATCATGCTGTGCCACAAAACTTGTCACTTTTGTCTTCTCAGTCTACATTAAGTTGACTTTGTGGGACTCTAATTTATTACATATACTGCATATGGACAGTGTTGACTAAGCTAAGAGGTGCTACAGCTCTGATTTAGATTATGATTGTAGCAATAATTTTAAGTCTTCTTTATATTCACAATTTTACTATTATAATTCCATTTAGTATGCACTGCAGATGAAAACATTTCTTAATTGTCTGATCCAAGTCAAAAGATCTTTTGGTGAATTTAAAAAAAAATAGATGAAAATGCAGTTAGAAATTGAAAGAATATTTTACATCTATATATATAAAAATGAATGTATGTGTGTGTGTGTCTGTCCTTCATGCATTATCACACCGTTTATCCGATTGCCATGAAACTTTGGGAAGTTGTTTAATATACTCTGGTGAAGGTTTGTGGCATAGTACGATTGCCATGAAACTTTGGAAAGTTTTTTAATTTTTTAATACACTCCCGCGAAGTACATTTATCCTACGATAGATGGCGCGCGTTTACACGAGCATTAGAGCACAGTGTGTCCGATTGATTTCAAATTGTGAAGACCATTTCCTCCCCTTCAAAAAATATCTCTATATATGAACTGTTATTTACGATATTTGTAATAATTTTTGTTTAATCACTTTATTTCAACTTATTTTTGCAAATTATGTATTCGCTCGAACTTCGTTAAAACCTTAACTGTACCCCGAACAACAACCGAAGTTGTAGGAAGAAATTCGCCTATTTTACCAATCTAGGTATCCCCCTTTTCCAAATTTTAATATTGACTCAAAATAATTTAAAAAGACAAATTACAATAAAACGGTTTATTATCCAACTATCAGAAATTTCACAACATGCCAAGGAAGAGAGGAAGGAGCAATTAAATAATTAAAATTATAAAGGATTTAAAAATATATATAAAAATGGGGAATATCGCACTTCTGACAATCGCTGCGAGTGTGTGGGTTAAATTTGGAGAATCCGTGCTTCTCACATGGACAACTGTATGTGGCCGGCTCACGTGTCGGAAAACCTTCTGATTTATTGTGTACACAACAGACGGAAAAACAAAAAATATCGTGTATACACAAACACTCCAATAAATAAATAGAATTGAAACGACACTTTGAAATGTTTTCCTGATGAAAATGAATAATAATAATAAGTTTCAATAAAAATAATAAAATGTAAATTGAATTTTATCATAATGAGTTTGCTTGAATTTCCTTCTTCTGAGATCGCAGCAATGCGCAACGGGTAAGCTAGTTCTTTAATAAAACTAGCTGACTAGGAAAAGATTAAATTCAGTCTGTGAGCATAATAATGCACAAAAATAGCATTTTTGTAAATTTCTCTTATTTTTGCTTGCACTTCATTATGTTCTCTAGCCAAAACAGCAGCCCCATCATAAGTTTGAGCAAGTAATTTTTGTCCACAATTAAACTAATCTAAATATCATTAACATGAATAAACAAGAAATACACACCTCAGTTTTCATTTATATATGTAAAATCTTTTCTTAATATTTTTGTTTTCATTAACATACCAAAACACTGTTGACAAACTAAAGAAAAAGGAATAATCTGGAGTTTACTAAATATCTTATGAAAACCAACAGTTAGAGGTCAAAAAAGATTATGTTGGGATTACACAAAGAAATTGCATGGTGCATATCAAGGAACACAAATACAATGTGGAAAAAGGTCATAGTAATACAATTTTGGCAGCAATGTCATGAATAGAAGGCTTGGTTATAAAGTAGGATGAAGCAAACATTATTAAAACAGTTCATTCTCCAACCATTTTTATGTTTATGGATATGGAAGAAATACATATAGACAAGAGCAAGATTAATGAACAACATCTGAATGCAAGAGATGCAAACACCTTACCTCCAGCATGGAAATACATCATAGAAAAAGATTAGGACATAAAAACCCTTCAGTTATGTGTTCCCCTACAATCAACTTTGGTTTTATTTTTATCTTATATTTTCTTAATTTTATTTTTATTTTGTTAACCTTATATTTTTCATATTTTCATTTGTGTAATTTTAAATTTGTATTTAAAATAGTTTAAATGTAAAAATTTGAAACATGGAACAATTACTTAAATTTAGTTCAAAATCTAAAGATGGCCTATGGCAGTGTTTTTCAGCCTTCTTGAATAAGTGACTTCTTTACAAGTTAAAAAATTCTGGCGACCCCCGAGGGCCATATTAAAATTATGTCAGTGATTTTAAAAACTACATATTTAAGTTTCTTTCTGTTGAAACCTAAATATCAATCAAAAAACCAATTGCACTGTAAAATAAACAGGCACAGCCTTCTCATTGAGATTGTAGTTTTTTTTTTATTGTAGTGTAGGACCTACAAACACTTGTCTTTTTCTTTTACCCCCGTGTAAGGCTTTGCGATCCACTGGGGGTTGTGACCCACGGGTTGAAAAACACTGGTCTGTGGTAATAGTGTGATGTTCATAACGACAAATATGTAGACCAGCAAGTGGAATAGTACAATTAATACTCAGACTTTCTGAAACAAAGTATTTTATTTTCACTTACGAACAGGTTCTTTAGGATCCCAACTCCACATATACTATCTTTGCACAAAGGTGCTAAGTACTGGCTTAACAAACAATAAAATATATTAGTGCGACAACTATAGGCAGGCCAAAACTTACAATTAATACTTATACTATTTATAACTAAGGAATAGGAAGAGTAGTAGGCAAAGATTGATAGATTAAGAGGAAGATTGGAATACCCAGGGTTTTTCTTGCCTTCACAAACTTGGGTGGGACACCACTTTTCCCTGAGACTTTAATTGTTGCCTTTTTTGTAGATTTTCGTCCGATACTAATTTAGTATCTTCTTTCACAGTTACCATCAGGAATTCTTCTTTATAAATCTCTCAACTCCTTGCAGTCTCTGGTCGTCCTACTCATGACCTGGAGCACTATCTTCTTACATTTGTTCTCCTCAAGAGCTCAACCAAGAATGTCCTGTTCAATTCTTTCACCCACTCCAGGGCCTTATCTCTTCTTTTTTTCTTCTGGTTTCTCCGAATCGGTAATCCCATCCACAGGGAAAAAGGATTGGAAAGGAAAGTTCTAGAAGAAGTTAGAACAAAGGAACAAAGAAAAAGGCTAAAACTAACTTAAATTAATAAATACATATATACAATATTATAGCTGATGGCCACACTGTTACTCCCAAAATTCAGGGGGGTTTTAGTCCATGAACACCCTCCTGTTTATGTTCCTAATTTAAACATTGTATTTATTAAAAATTGACTTATTTGATACTTACATATTTAAGTTAATTCATATTAATAGGTTGCTCGAGCTGCAGCAGTTGCAGATGAAGCTATTGGTAATGTAAGAACTGTAAGAGCATTTGCTATGGAGGATAAAGAAATTGAGTAAGTTAATATTTAAAATTTTTATTTATTTTAATATGCGTAATTAAATAAATTAAAAATTAGTTTAAGTTTATTAGTTCAGTAAATTCTTAACCTGAATACTTATTCCTGGTTAGTAATATGCTGTATTTTTATGAATGAAAAATGAACTGATTTAGAATTGACAGAAATACAATAGACAGAGAAGAGATATAATAACAGATTTACACATTTTATGCTATAAAATATTTCAAAATCTATAGAAAAAGGAAGATTGATAGAAATAAATTTTGCTGAAAGAAGTAATAACTTTTGTTGTTTAATTATTACACATTCTTCTTATGGATTCCTTAGTGATATGCATAAATTTCATTAAAGGGAACTAATCACACAGGGAACACACCAGTAATTGACTATAGCAACTTTATTATACAAAGAAATGCATTTTGAGCCTTCTGCCCTCATTGGTCTTTTATTACAGATCTATTTAATTAAACAATAAATGACAGGAGAGCTGAAATGTTTCTCAGAAGGACCAGAAAATGATTTTTCTGTACTTTTAAGGCATGAAATAAAGATTGAAAACATTTTAATTTTGAAGGTTATGATGCCCCAGGAAATCTTAGAGCCAAGCATTCAAAGTCATAGCAACTTTCAGATTGTCATGTCATTATGTCATGACTACTTGTAGCAATTGTGAGAAATTTACATGACTTTATTTTTGATGACATCAGATCACTAAAAATGATATCAGAGTGCAAAATTGCCATGCATGCATGTGATTGTAGGGAAAAAATTGTACATAATTGCCTGTGCAAAGTAGCAAATTTTTACAACAGTTTTTGAGGGCCTGTGCTAAATGGGAAAAATTTTTTTTGACTGAAATTTTTACACAGTTGGATAGCGTGTAGGATGTAGATAACATGGAAGTGCAACTAAGAAAGTTAATTTGGTGACAAATACCCATGGAAAAACTAGTAAGCATGGAAAATCAATGAGATTGCAAGTGACTGTGGGTTGAAAAATCATTTATATAATAACTTATTTTCATTAAATATGAACAATTCAGTAAAATATGTATTTTATATTGCAAACTAAAAATTATATGTCAAAACAGACATTGATGGAAATAGTTTGAGAATTAACAGAAAACTGAAGCTTGACAAAAAATAATGAACAACAATGGTAAAACTAATCATAAGAGACAAGTGGTATTGTTAACTATTGTTACTACATTGTCATTTTAATTTTGTCATCCCTAAGTTTTAGCTATAAGAATTTATTTTAATTTCTTTGTATAATGTTATACTTATTTTTTTAATCATTGCAAATTAAATTATTTTAAATATCTAAAATTGAAAAATAATTTCTCTACACTGATACTTTACATAAAAATAAATCTCATTAATAGTTTTTGTATAATGAACAAGGATAATTTTATGTAATTATCAACTACAGTGTTATTTTAATATATATATTTTGTATCAAAATATGAAGATACTAACGTTTTTTATGTTCAGTATTTTTATTCAGTAAGCAAGAAGAAAAAAGTTTTTTGATTATATTAATTTCTTTAGTAGGAATTATGAAATACCCAACATATATATGAAGTGCATTTTATGAAACTTTATTTCAGATTGTATGATCAGGAAATATTGAAAGCTCAGAAATTAAATGCACAACTTGGTGTTGGAATTGGAGCATTTCAGGGAGTTACAAATCTTGTTTTGAATGGTATGTTTAATAAAAGATAAAATTTAAAAATAATTGATATGCAGCTAATAAATTAATTTAACAAATTTAACAAACAAAAATTTTTAATTAGAATTAATATATTCTAATATAAGTACAGATAATCATAATATCCATTTCGTAATGATGATTTCTTAAGAACAAACAACAAACATCCATAACTTTTTTAAATATAAATCAGTAATTAGTATCAGAAAATGTTTCTTAAACATAATTTTTATGATCAATTTTTTCATCAAAACTAAAATTTAATAGAATAACAATATATTCTATATAGGAACAGCAAATGTTAGGCATTGATGTTTTTTAAATTTATATATCACAATTAACAAAAATATAACTCTTTATTTTGAAACTAAAATAAAGATGAATAAAAAAAAGCAATAACATAATTAATTAAATAAATGTAAAATATATATAGAATTTAAATGTTAAAATTACTGCATTTTATGTTAATTAAGAGCAACAAAAAATATTTTTTAGTGACTAAAGTTAAACTTAAGAATTGTTTCTTCTGCATTAATTATTAAAGAATGTGAAGATCTTACATATTATCATTGAAATACAGTTATCCCTTGATAGTCCAACGTTTTGTAATCCGACATGCTCAGTAGTCCAACACACCTCCCGTCAAGGTCCCTGTCCCATTACGTGTCTGCTTGCACAGAAGCATGTCGCAATGTGAATCTCCCCACCCAATTCTTACATGATGACACAAATTTCATGTGTTTTCCATGAGCAGTTCTGTTTGAATAGTTGTAGTAGGGAATATTGTAGGCTACAGCTAGCAAAACAATGCCAAATATGTAATCACTTTCAGTAATCCAGACACTTTTGGTAATCCGACACCACTTTGGTCCCATACCTGTCGGATTATCAAGGGACAACTGTAATCCTAAAAGTGAAACTAGTTTAAATCTTGCATTATGTGCAAACACTATTGCTTTTCAATAGCTGCAACTCTCATATAATTTAGTTTTACTGAATTATGTATGTTTTTTATAATAAATTATCCCCTTACTCTCCTTTGCTCCGTGGAGACTTGCCAATAAAATTGAATACAAAAAATGGATTTTACATAGTTAATAAAATTAAAATTTTTTCTGTCATTGTTTGCTATGGATGTTGTACTGATTTGACATGGTATATACAGATACAAATGGGTCTTAATGGTTACTTCTATGTATTTCATATTTATATATATGTAGAATGAATAGAAAATTATTAGGCACATATAAATAAAAAATTATTTCTGATTTATTAACAAAATAAACATTTATTTGTGATGAAAGTTTACAAAGCAAAATCATTTATGAATGCACAGATTTATGTGACATTTAGAACAGATAAACAAAATGAATTAGACAATTTGTAACAGATAAACAAAATGAATATTTGTTTATCTGTTACATCCTGGAAATTTCCATCTTAGATGACCATCATCCACAAAAATTGGGTCAGTTGTTGTAGTTGTTGAATCTGGCAGCTACTGGTACATCAAGAGAAACAAAACTTCCATTCGAAATTGGCTGTATATCTTCAAGATTTTCTCCCCATAATCTTGCTGTAGCTAAAAGTGATCTTGCAATTTCCATTGAAATTGTCAAGTGAGTATGTCTCACCTGCAAATTCCTTCAAAATCTAAACATTTATAACACACACAACTACTATATGAAATGCTAAATAAAGATACTTTTTTACATTGTGATAAAAACTGATAAATCTTATCAGTTTTTGTAAATCTATCACATCACCTATCATATTTGTTGTATCTCTTGTCCAATATTTTTGTTTGACCACAATCTCCCAATGTTCATATACAAAATTATTCCCAAAGAAATAATTTCTTCACAAGTGATTGGCTTTGTAGGCTTCTTTTCTGTGTTATATACAAATTAGTTTGAAACATAATGATGCTGATGAACTCATCATCAAAAAACAGCTGAAAATAATTCTTATTATGGCAGAATTGTTATTGTGATCAAATCTGTTTTCTAAAGCAAGCAATGTATAAAGTACTTGCATGTATTTAATTCATCAAGTAAATTCTAATGCCAAAAGACAGTACAATTTCTTCCTTATTCTAAACCGAGCACTTTCTTTTCTTTCAATTCATTATTTGGAGTAGTAATATCTTTTACCTGCCATTTCACTTAAATGAGGGAATCTGCTTCATTTCATAACTATCTGATTTACTGGTTTGGTAATCCTTCTCATTCTGATCACAATCATCTGATATCCCATCATCATCAACAAGATTGTCCTCACTTTCTTTTGCTAAAATAATTGCTCCAGTAATGTGTAATGGTCTCCTGTAGCAATAAATAAACCAAAATTTTTAATAATACAGGTGCTTTCCTACTTACCAACGTTCAACTTACAAACTTTCAGACTTATGAACAATTTGATTAAATGTTTAAAATTTAAATTTTGCACAGATTCTGAAGTTCTCTTGTTTCTCTTGGGTTTGCTTGAATGTCAGTCTTTGGCTGGTAATAAATAATAAATTTTTAATAAATAATTAATGTAGATTTATTTCTGTTGCATATTTTTTGCTTTTGTGGGAATTCTGAGTTTCCATTGTTTTACTTGTGAAATAGCATTGAAATTGTTAACATTTGAGTAATGGCATTTTTTGCTATTTGCAATTTTTATAAACTTTTATGATAAAAGCTTGTAAATTTAGGTTTAAGTTTATTTGTATTTAGCAATGTGACATGTGAGCAATCTGCTGAGGGGATGCCTCCTCTGCTGCTTGGATGTCTCCTGACTTTCTATTGGAAACTGGCCCCTATTTTGGTGTTACTAATGTGAAGAAAACTTGGAAAACTCCATGTGTTCAGCCTATTGTTAAAGTGCAAGTGTTGACCAACTACTAGTGTTCAGTGATTTTATCTACTAAGCCACTAGTGGACCCACTAATGCTTTAAAAATACATCAAAAACATAATAGTAAATATAGCAGTGGAGATAAATGCAAGAAGTACCACTCTATTACTGTGGAAACTAAACAAGAAATTATAAAACTAAGTGCATTAGGTAGAAAACCATATTTGAAATAGCTGCTAGTAAGCAGTAGTGAGTGGGTAAATGAGTGTAATATATTCTATTAATTACATTGAAGGATTAAATACTAACAATAAATGGTTATTCTGTGTACAGATGTACTTTTTAGGTTAGTTTTCAATGTATGACGAAACCTTGGGAACCTAACTTGTTCATAAGTAGGGGAGTGCCTGTAATGAATATATGCAAACTAACATAAAATTTGTATATGTTATTATGACAAAAGCATATGTAAATAGTAGTACTAAAAAAATCTTTTAAAATATCTGTACTAATATTAACAATTATTTTTATTATAAAATATTAATGTGATATTTCCTTCATTGTGTATGTACGAGATAAAAGCATCATGCTAAGCCTATGACTCTCCTTATAACTCAATGGTATTGTGGATTATCTGATGGGGAAATCATTACTCCCATATCAGGAATAGTCAAGGGTCTTTTTTGTATTTGGGTGGTGGTTGTAGAGGCACAGATGACAAATACTTTTACATACAATGTGTCTACTTAACTGAAAGTCTCTTACATCAATGTATGAGGGTTTCTGTTTAAACTGACCTAAATAGGTTCGAAAGTTCTTTCACAGCTGGGTATAATCTTGCGTGATGTATCAGTGGTGTTGACACTGGTGATGGCATAGCCTGGGGCCATAACAAGAAGTTGTTCACCGAGAACTTGGCTTGATGTTTGACAAACATGATTTTTGATGATAGTTGACAATTGTTGAGAAGCAATGTTGTGTTTGCTCTGATTACGCAATTCTGTCTGGTAGGTATAGTTAAGATAAACTGTTGTAGTGTGTTGACACTATCTTGGCTCTATATGTGCCAGGCTGTATGGTGTTACTGTCTGTCCTGAGCTGAACTGAGCTGCTGATGATGACAAAGGTGATAATGATCAATGATGACGACAATAACAATTGATGATGATGTCCCACATGTTCTTCAAGACTGGGGTTTTTATAACTTTTTGCCTTTGATTACCCATCCCAATTAGCCATTTTCCCTCATCCTTGCTTTCCAAGTGGCTGTTCACTTGTTACTAAGCATAACAAGATACCAACTTGGATTGTGGGAGAGGTCAAACTTAAAGGAGAATTTGATCTCCCAACTGGAGATCGTTGATCTTAGGACTATTGCCTATGACATCGTGTCGCATCTTTAAAACATTTTTTCTAGTTTCTAATTTTTTTACTCTCTTTAAAATAATTATTTCAATGCAAATTTTAGTGAGGTTCTGGCCTGTCCAGGACTTCACAGTATTTACAATGACCACTTACAACATAATATATTATTATTAAAGCCACTATGATATGATTAACAAATAATTGATAAACTAATAACACATGCTGAAACTCAACTCATCTTCAGAAAATTCTTTCAGTTGCCATGTTAAAAAATTTTCTTAGTGTTGCCATCTCACAGCTAGCAAAATATTACATAAATATAGCATGGATTCTGAAGATAATACTAAGAGCCTGTGTGAACTAAATTACAAATAGGGACTGTAGAAAAAGTTAAATATTGCTTGATATTTATAAATACTGATGAATTGAAAGAAGTTAAGTATAGAATATATTTGCTTTAATTTGAAAATGATTGAATCTTTCCTTTGATCATTTGCTTGATATCCAGGTTCAGGAATTAGTTGCTTGGTCCAGATTTAAAATACTTTTATACTTTCTGGAATAATAGAGAAAGATAAAAGCATGAGGTAATCTGCTTTATCCTATAAAATCTCAAGTGAGAACTTCTCACATAACCTGAGATTAATTCTTAGTATTCTCATTGTATATTCAGAAAAATTTCTGTGCTGAATAATTACAAGTTACTGACCTAATGTTTTTGTTATGTTTATCTACACAACATAAACAGTATATAAAAATATCTCAAAAGGATTATGTGAACATTGGCTTTTTATGATAACTGTTTGTCTTTTCATTTCTTAAATAGCATAAAATTTTGAATTTCTTCTGTGTAGTTTAATATATTTCTGATATTAAATATTGATTTTTATTTTTAAAAAAGTTGTAGATGTCTATTTATTAATAACAAATTATATTTAATCAATTAATAACTTTTAAAATAAAATTTTGATTCAAATTTAAAATTGTTTTCAAAATTTATTTCTATATAATTTTATTGTGATAAATGAAGTGTTTCCCATTATTTATACAGTTATTCAATTATATTAATAGCCAACTCCTTCTGATCTTACAATTTGATTTGTTAAATTGGTTATATTTTAAAAATTTCTTCAGGAAATGATATTTGATGAGTTTAAATAAATTATATTTGATTTTAGATGTTGTCCTGTTGTTTAGTTATGTACCATTTTCATTTTTCATGTTATTATTCTTTTTAAACAGTAAATCATTAAATCATTTTACATTTTTTATTTTAAATTTATTATGCTTATTGTTTTAAATTAATTTGCATAGGAATAATTTTGGGAGTTTTATTTACTGGTGGATTTCTGATGTCTTCACAAGAAATTACTCCAGGAAGTTTAATGTCTTTTCTTGTTGCAACTCAAACAGTACAAAAGTAATTTTTAAATTTTAATATATTTAAAAATTTATAGTCCATAAAAAATATTTTATTTATAAAATATGATAAATGTTAAATTCATTATTGTATATAAATAGCAAATACACCAAAAGCTTGTACATAATCACAAACTTATGTATACAGTACATAGAAATAAATCTGCAAATTGAAAATTGCAACCCAAAATCTTCATATTTTTGAAAATTATTGTTTTTGAAAAACGTTTTAAATAAAATCTTATTATTCTTTAATTAAGAATCTGAAAGTAGAAAAAAAAATGCAGATCCCATTATTCTTTTCTAAATTCTAAAGTTGTTTTCATCCCTATAAGGAGGCAAGGGGTGACTTAATTTTTATGAAATTGAAAAAGTCCCACAAAAATAAGTAACTTTATTTTAATCACTTTTTTAATTAGACACATTTTATGAAATATTTGTAAACAGATTTCTTTATTTTGTCAATCTGCTTTTACTTCTATTTACAATATTAGTAAGAAACTAAAAGTTTTTTAAATATTCATTTTCTTATCATTTAACACTTATATCTTTAATTCATACAAATAAATGAATAATAATTTAATTTAAGTTTTATAACTGAGAAATACATGACAATTTTCTAATTCTTAATTTGTTACTGAGTTTTTTTAATAAAAAATTTTATAATCTATTTAAAGAAATTAATTTTTTATTTGATTTATTGAACTGTTAATTAACTATTATATTTTTTAAATGGGGAAAAAATTTAAAATTAATCAGTTTAAGGTTAATTTATTTTGATTTTGATGTTGCTAGAAAATTTACAATTGACTGTATAAATATTTTTCCAGAACTAGAACATTCTTAAATGCTTCTATTAAATGCTTTAATGCTTCTATGAAAAATATGCAATATTCTAAAAATAATAAAATCAAAATAAATTACCTCTTTAGAGAGATTGATTTAATAATTTGTTTTAAATTTAAACTAGGCAGAATAATGTTTTAAGAACAATTTATGGAAAATTAATGCTTTGAGTTTTTATTATTATAGATCTTTAGCACAACTTTCACAGTTATTTGGATATTATATCAGAGGTATTGCGGCAGGTAGTAGAATTTTTCAGGTAAAGGAAAAAATTTATTTATGCAAGTAACATTATAATTTAAATGTAGTAAATATTAACATTCATTATTTAATTTAAGTATATGAATATGGAACCAACTCATCCATTAAGAAAAGGAAAAATAATTCCCAAAGAAGAATTGAAAGGAGATGTCATATTTAATAATGTCACTTTTCACTATCCGACTCGCCCCTATCAGGTTTGTTTTGTATGTCTGCTATTTGAGACAAATGAGATGAGTCAAATTATATGAATAATATAGTTTATCTCATCTTAAGCACAAAGCTAATGTAACTAATGTAAGCACAATGTAATGATTATACAAAACAATTTTTAAGAAAAATCTTTGTTGTTGTTTATAAAATTTTACTAATTTTTTTAGTGTCACTCTTAATGTTTTTCTCTCATAATCATTATTGTTTATGCATCATGTTAAATAAAATTAATCAAATTTCTTAAACCAGCTTAAAATTTTAAAATTGGTCTAAGAAGTTTTATTTCAACAAAAATTTTGTAATATCAGTCAATCTTTATTAGCAGAAGGGAAAGCATCCCTGTTGCAGGGGGTAGTACATAATTTAATTAAAAATGTACAAAGTATTGGAACAGCTTACAAATTCTTAATTATTTACAATTATTATACATTGGTTTTTGTATCAACCTGTTGTTGATATTAACAAAAAAAGTCATTTTAACAGAAATAACAATGCAATGATAATAAATTTTACAATATTAGTACATGATGAATTTGTATCTTAGTTTTCTAGTATTTTTACAATCTTGATGAAGTAGTTGTATAGATTATGAAGGTCTTTTTTGTTGAGGTTATTCAGCTTATTTCTGAAGTCATAAGGTGGATTACAATGGAGTATTCATGTAATATTGTATGAGTCTCATATATCTTCAAGTTCCTGACAATCCTGTAGTAAATGGTGGATTGAGAAGTTGTCAGATTTACACTGTGTGCAATGGTTGTTCAAAACATTAATAGATGTTATTGATGAAAAGAGAATATTTATTGAGGCATAGTTGGGCTATTAGTCTTTTCATGTTGAAATTTATTGATTTATTCATGTATGGTTGAGAGGATGGAATTTTTAAAATTTGTAGATACAGGGGTAGTAAATACTACAAGTTAGGTTGGTGTGATCTTTATTTATGGAGTTAGAGATTGCGGATACCATTAATAAAGTATAACCGTATTTCCAGTCTTGAATATTATCTTTAAACAGTAGGTCTGATACTCCGAATGAATTCAGTATTTTATTTAGTTTGGTTTGCCAGAGATGCTCTGATTTTGATTTTTTACTGTGTTTGATTATTTCTTGATGTGAAAATTTTGTAATATCGAGAGGATTTACCAATGCCTGTCCTAGATTTTGATTTATATCAATAAATTGTAGCTTTTGAGATGTATTGTATTAATATGAAACATTATATTATTGTATGAGATTAGTGTTTTTATATTTTGAAAGAAATCTAGTTTCTTTTTATTAATCTTAATAAGACAAATATAAAAATTATATTATTACTAGTAAAAACTTATAATTTAAAGGTTTATTGTTTATGATTAAGATGAAATAAAATGACTTATTTTAAAATATTAATCTTTAATATTAATATTTATGTTGTAATATTCTATTTTTTTAATCTCAGTTTGTGATTTATACTCTTAATGAATGACCAAGATTAGCCAAAATTCAAAATTAAAATAGTTTTAAATGCTAAATTTGAGTACAGTGGTACCTCAGGATACGAAATTAATCCGTTCCGAAATTGAGATCGTATCATGAAAATGTCGTAAGCTGAATCGTTTTTTCCCATACGATTACATGTAAAATCAAATAATTTGTTCCAACACGAAAAACACACTCAAATTAAAGCTAAGTTGCACATTAAAAAAATAACTATAGTAAGGAAAACACTGAAAAATGCGTTTTGTAGTTGTAAATGTATAAATAACCATAATAGAATAATAATCGATAAAAAAAATGTAGTTTTATTTTCACTTTACCTTTGAGGATAGACGACGGTGGAGGTGTAAACTGCTGGCGGAAGAGAGGGAGAAGGGAAATGATACTAAAACTTAACTTACATAACGTAATGTAACAATAACTTAAAAATAATTTAACACTAATTTTTTAATCTTTTCTGTTACATATTTTTGTTAATTTTTTATTCACT